TGTTTTTGTTCCTGATTTACAGCATCTACAGTTCTTTTGGTTTTTATAAAAGTTGGTAAGTTGTGTTACAGCTGTATAAATCTTTGGTTAGGCCAACTTTTGGAATACTGCATACAGTTCTGGTTGCCATACTACCAGAAGGACATGGATGCTCTGCAGTGGGTACAGAGAAGGTCTACCAGGATGTTGTCTGATCTGGAGTGTTTTAGGTATGGGGAGAGGTTGGATAAACTCTGTTGTCTTCACTGGAGAGTCAGAGGCTGAGGGGTGACCTGATAGAGGTCCACAAAATTGAGAGGCATAGATAGAGTGGATAGTCAGGCTTTTTCCCAGGGTGGAAAGGTCAACTACAAAAAGGCATAGATTCAAGGTGAGAGGGGGAAAGTTTAGGCGAGAAGTGCGGGGAAAATTTTTTCACAGAGGTTGGTTGCTGCCTGGAATGCAGTGCCAGTGGAGGTAGCAGAAGCAGGCATGTTAGCAAAGTTTAAGGCGTATCTTGACAGACACTTGAATGGGAGATGAACAGAGGGATAGAAGCCATGAATGGGCAATAAGTAGCGGGTCTTATTAAGGATTAGGAATCGTTGCAGGTTTGGTGGGCCTGTTCTTGTGCTTTTTTTTTTGTTCTTTGTTTTTTGCTATGTACAAAAGTACAGATTTAAAATTAAAGCACCATGAACCACAGTAGTCTCAGTGTAAGAAGTACGTACAACTTTCGCAGCTTGACTAATCCGGTAAAAACACCATTTGAATCCTCGATCGCCCATGAAATTTTGTTATTCCTGAGATCACTGCAGGAAGAAAGCTGCTGTTATTTTGTTTTTATAAATATGATGGACAATCAAACAATCTAAGTTTACCAATTTTCACAGATCACACTTTTGATATGTTCAGCCAATAATACAGTGCCATGCACCAATTGAAACTGGAACAGATGTCAAACCAAATGCAAGCAATCCAACACATTGGTGGATTTTGACAAAAAACTTACAAAAAAAATTTCAAGGAACAGGCCATTCAACTCGACTGGTCTGTGATAGTACTTATGACCTACATGAACCTCCTCTTCATCTCATTCTATCTGCATTCCTTTCTCCCTTTTGTTCATCTAGCTTCGTATTAAAGTCACCTGTTACTCGCTTCCAGTACTTCTTATGGCAAACAGTCACATATTTTAACTACTCTCTGGATAAAGATGATTCTGCTGAAATCCTATTGGATCGATCACTAAATCTCAGTTATGACTCCCACCTAGCAGCCTGCAGTCCAGTTTTAATCTCACCCAATTGAAAATATCCTCTCTATGTAACAATATCAAAAGACAGTATTCTGATATCGACGCTATACAACAGAAAAAAAAATTGAAAATTAATCACATTTCAAAAATGAAGTATTGCATGTGCACAGTCAAGACCAAGTGTAGTTATTTTAATCAAGGCCTCCTCAGACATACTATGAAACACTTCTGGGACAGGTGGGACTCGACCCCAAATCTTCTGACCCAGAGGTTGGTACATTGCCATTGCACTACAAAACTCACTCAAGACCAAATGTAAGCTCAGGGAAGGGGTTACAGGGCCAGAGGATAACTGGATTATAGTATAGCGAGATAATTTAAACCCTAATTTGGTTATTTGCAGTTCATTTAATGTGAAACTACAACAGGTGTAAGATTATAGTGTTTCCACTACGAGTTAAATTAAAGAATATCACAGATGCTGAGAATCTGACGTAAATACACAAAATGCTGGAAACAAGTTAGTTACCATCTGAAATGGCAAAGACAGCTAAACACTTTGGAATTGCATCTGTCATCAAAAGGAAATCTCTACTGCTTCGTATATGAAAGATTTGCACAGTTGAATTGCTTCTCAGTGAAAACAAAGCAGTGTCCTCCTCATTGCACAAAACAGCCAAAGCTTTGAGCAAAAATTTCTGCAGCAATTAAAGCCTTGTCTTGCAACAAGTAAAGGATGGATATTGAAGAAATTACATTTCTTCTAAGAAGTGTGTTGTCCTTGCACAAGGGTGCAGTGTCTAGAAAACGACTGAAGTTCAGAAAGTGTGCTGAATTTAATTGTGACTTACAAAAGGCTTTTTAAATAAGCACTTGAAAATTAAATATTGTAAAAGGTTATGGATAAAGGGTGAAGAAATTGCCCTTGCAGTGAGCTGGTGTGGATTCAATAGGCTGAGTGAAAACCTTTTGTGTTTAACCATCGCATCATACGATCAACTGTTTAACATGCTTGTAATAGAAGTGAAATCCCAGTACAACAGGCAGTTCCTGAGCATTGCTGATTAAAATTTTTGCCAGAATTTGGAGATGAATTCTGACACTGGTGCTTGGGTGGAGATGCATGTTCAGTATTGTTTGAAACAGTGGGGTGATTGGTGACTTCCAGTTTAAAGTTTCTAGATCATATTCTGTAAATCTTATGTGAAAAAGACCTCAGCAAGCGAGCGAGTAATTTATCAATGGCACTCTGATCTTATACTGGTGTGAAACAGATTCAGCCTAACTCATGTATATGATTACCCCTCTCTCTACCCAGGAATCCCCTGATGCTTAGAGAACAGAATGCCCTGATGACTGAAATGACTGGTTCCATTGCTTTGCAGCCATTTATGTAAGCCATGGCCACAGGTAAAGGCTTAAGAGGAGTACAAGCTTTCAAACTTTTACCACAATGCACAAAAAAAACACACATTTTGCATGAATCCAGCCAAACGTTTAAGCACAAGAAAGGAAATGTATCAAGCATTATTCTAACTTCACTTTGACTAAAGAAATTATTTCCACCCTTGTGCCCTTGCCTGATCAGTTAGTTTTCCTTTCTCCTCATAACTAGTCAGGCACGAATAGTTGGAGCCTCATTAATCAGCAATGCCCTGAAACATGAATACACTCAATGACCCTGAACTGAAGCTTGCCAGTCACTTCTTTTTACATGCCTCCCCCCTAGGGTCCCATAACAAACTTACTTTGTTCTTCCATTTAATGTTACTTTGAACCAGAGCAGATCAGTTATGATCACTCTACTACTAAAGGTTATACGAAGGACAAAGAATTCCATATTACTTCATTCCCATCCAGTTTATTTTCGGACTTTTGCTTTTGCCACTTCAGCTCACTTAAGTACTTCTGACATAAAATCTGCCAAACAGTTGCCTGGCCAGGTGGGAGAACAGAAAAGAGGATTCATTTATAATATACTAACAGATAGTGCAGATTGAGACAGTAAAAGATAGAGCCAGAGTTCAATCTACAGCCTATTAATTTCATCTCTTTTATAATCAGCATGAAGTTCTTCCTTCTTCTGCATTTCTACTCATACAGCTGGGTACATCAGATGGATCGTAACTAATGAGTGCTGGTGTACAGAAATTTCTAGTATTTTTGTTTTTACAGTCTAAGACTTCCCAACTCCTACATTTTCCATCAGATGTACAAGTGAAAAACACGCATCATACCTAAGGTTCTTGAGTAGATTTGTAGCTTGGGTTGTGGATGCTGTGGTTGGTTCGCTCACTGAGCTGGTTCGTTAGTTTGCAGACGTTAGTTTCATTATCCTGCTGGGTAACATCATCAGTGCAGCCTCTGATGAAGCGTTGTTGTGTTTTCCCACCTAGTATTTAAACTCTAGGGTCCGTTGGATTTGATTACCTCATTTCCGGTTTTTCTTCGCAGTGGTGTATATATAGGGTCTAATTTTATGTGTTTGTTGTTAGCCTTCTTGGAGGAGAACCAGGCCTCTAGAAATTGCTGCGCTTGTCTGTTTGGCCTGTCCTAGGATCCTGATGTTGTCTCAATTGAACTGGTGGTTCTCCTTGTTCCTATGTATGGAGACGAGCATTGGCCATATCTTTCTGTCGGTAGTTGATGTTCAGTTTGTGGGTGTTGGGGTGGTTACTGTTGAAATTTAGGACTTGATCAGTGTATGTGTGGCCTTTTGTATACTTTGATCAGAAATTCCCCATTGGCCCTGCATTCTACCATCACGTCCAGGAATGGAAGCTATTCGTTCTTTTTTTTTTTTTTCCTTCTTCTCCGGTGAATTTGATGCCAGTGAAAATGTTGTTTAAGTTAGTGTGTTTCTCCTAGTTTAATCCAGTTGATGATGAAAGTGTCGTCCACGTATTGGATCCATAGTTTGGGTTGGATCTGCGGAAGGGCCGTGCTTTCGAGTCTCTGCATCACTGCTTCTGCTATTAGTCCAGAGATGGGTGACCCTATAGGTGTCCCATTGATTTGTTCATAGATCTGGCCATTAAAGGTAAAATGGTGTTGAGGCATAGGTCCAGTAATTTCAGCATGTTGTCTGTGGATATGGTGTTACTTGGGTCTGGTTCTTTCAGTAGCGTTGCTAGTGTTTCTCTTGCTAGTGGTATATTGATCGATGTGAATAGGGCGGTAACGTCAAAGGACACCATGGTCTCATCCTTGTCTATTCTTATGTCTTTGAGGGTTTTGAGGAACTCCTGGGCTGAGTGGATTGAGTAGGTTGAGTTGTTGACGAGGTGCTTTAGTCTTTGTTGTAATCCCTTGGCTAACCTGTATGCTGGTGTGCCTGGGACAGAGACTATGGGTCTGAGGGATACTTCCGGTTTGTGTACCTTTGGGACGTCATAGAATCGGGAGGTGTTTGTCCCTTCAGGTTTATTTTTAGGTAGTCTGCTTTGTTGATCTGTCTGGTCTGTTTGAGTCTCTTTAATGCGTAGATGATTTTATCTCCAGTTGCGGTGTCGGGTCTGTTTCCACTTGTCGGTATGTATTTGTGCCTGCTAGTAGCATCTGTGCTTTAGTGAGGGAGTCTTGTTTGTTAAGTATTACTGTCATGCGCCCTTTTCCGCTGGTAGAATTATGATGTTTTTGTCTTTTTTCATCCTTCTAGGGCCTTCCTTTCTGACGTGTCGAGTGTGTTAAGTTTGTTCCTTCAGGTCAGTGTCGGGACCACTGTCTCTGTTTTATGGCTTGTTGCGTTTCCTCATGGATGCCGTTGGTCTTCAGTGTGGATCCTAGCCTGGCTAGGAACTCTGTCCTGTTAGCATCTCTGTGGCTGTAGTTGAGTCCACATACTGGTACAGCTGTCTGAGTCTGCTAGTTTTCTGTCAGATAGGTTTCTTATCCAAGTGCCTGATCTTTGCCTGTCATTTTGGTGTGTTAGTTTGGCTAACTTTTCTTGTAGGATTTGTCTTTTCTTGGTTTTGGGTTTTTGTTGACTGATGTTACTGGCTCGTTCCAAGTCTGTTGTCCACTGTAGGTTGGTTGCATCTAGGTATAGGGATTTTTGGCACGTAACTTCCCCGTCATATCTGTGGAGCCGCTTGTGGGCATCGTTAATAATTACCTTCACCATTCTGTGGCCATTGTGCTCTGCTGTCCTATATGCCTGGGGTGTCGACGGGAAGTCTGCATCTAACACTGCGTGGTAATACTTGGTTCCTGAGGCATCTGTGGAGGAAGTAGAGTTGCTCGCAAGTAACGCTCTGTCGTTTGGCATAAACTTCCCGTTTCCAGGTCAATTCTGGGAAAACACAACAATGCTACATCGGAGGCTGCACTGATGATGTCACGCAGCAGGGTAATGAAATGTCTGCAAACTGATGAACCAGCTCAGTGAGCGAACTAACCACAACACACATCATATAGTAATAGACCAAACTCACTGTCACAGATTTAGAACTTCATTACAATGGGACTTTGTTTGTTTTTGTTGACATAAACTCATTTGACAAAGTTGTTCAACATGTGCATCAAAAAAAAAGAGCAACAGGTATAGCTTTACTGCCCATTGCAGTGGAGCACAGTAGTTTCTGATGGAGGACATGCATTAGCTACATGTTGGCCAGCACCGATTTCCAGTCCCAATTTCAAGCTTATAAACTGACCAAGTTATTAGAGAACAGCTAATGAGGTGGGAGCAAATGACTCAACTCTAAACTGAAAACAAAAAGTGCTGGAGTTCTCAATGGGTTGGGCAGCATCCATGGAGAGAAGCAAGTTAACATTTGGAGTCTAAATGACTCTTCATAAGAGCCGACGTCACGTGATGAAGAGTCACCTAGACTGAAATGTTAGCTTGCTTTCTCTCCATGGAGGCTGCCTGACCCACTGTGATTTCTGGCACTTTTGTTTTCAGTAGAGATTCTAGCATCTGCTGCAATTTGCTCCAACTCAATTCTCAAATTTTAGTTGTTAGTTTTCTGTATTTATCATATAATGCTATTTTATTGTGTACTTACAGTGTCAGCAAGTTAGACAAACTGCTAAAGACTCCATCAGCGATATAACTCACTCTGTTGTCACCCATGTACAAACTCTCAAGCAAATTCAAGCCTACAAAAGTAGACTCATCTAAACGAGTCATCTGATTGTAGGTCATGTCTCTGGAAAAAAATTGAAACAGAAACTTCTACATAAATCCACTTTAATCCAATTTGTCTATCCTATTTACAGGAATTCTTCGACCAATATGCAGTCAATAATCTGGATACAGCAATATAACAATATTCAAAACACATTACATGTTGTACAGATTCAAAAACAAAATCTTATTTTGACATTTCAGTGCTATGTTTGGCAGATAGATTCTTTATTGCAGGCAGCATCATCTGCTCTGTTCCACTGCACACTTGGTGGGTGATAACTTCCATGTAAAGTGGCCAAACTAAATTACTGAGTATATGAATGCAGAAGAAGAGGAGATGGAGCAGGAACCACTGATGTTTCCTTATTTAAATGTGACATCCTAAATAAAAAGCAATTCATTGTAGCTTAGGCTTGTCTGTGTTCTAGGCATGAAATGATAGAGGACGCTATTGGAATTATGATAATCTATTTACAGAGGCATGAACAAATTTCGTTAGAACAAAGCACAGCTACATAGATTACTTCTGCATCACAATTAACCAACCAATTTTATCTACCAACATTTGAAAATACTTTCAATCTACAACATTAAGTAACTAATGTGCATATACACTGTAGCGTAAAGACTGAGCGATGCTCCCAGATTTTATTAGCTTGGCTATTATGCCCTTTGTTGAGGATTCAGTTATGGAGTACTGGGATCAATATCTTCTTACAACATAGCATCTTGGAGACAGTATAATGCGCCAAGGAGCTTCAACGGGGCAATTACTGCATAAAATTTGATTTTAAGCCAAGTAAGCAGTTATTAGAGAACAGGTAACTAAACTGTTAAAGAGGAAGGTTTGAAGGAATGTCTGGGAAAAAAAATAGAGGTGGAAAGGTAGAGGGTTTTAGGTAGGGAATTACAAAGCTCATGGTTCAGGCAGTGAATGGCATGCCCACTAATGGTGGAGTGTGACAGTAAGGATGGATGAGAGGCCAGAAATAAAGGGTCAGAGGTAAAAAAGGAAAACAATCTCACAATTCAGTCAGCTTCTGGCAGAACTCCCAGGCATCTGCACTGACCCTGGTGATGGCATTCTGGCTCAGGTGGAGATGCTGCAGCAGTTTGAGGCCATATAGCCAGCCCTTAGTTACTTCAGTTAAGTTGTTATGCTCCAAGTCCCTAGAATGGAAAAAACAAACAGCTGATTTCCATAATGGAGAAAAGAAACAGGTGGAGCAGGAGGAACACAGCAGGTCAGGTAGCATGAGAGTAGGAAAGTCGACATTTCAGGGCTGATGAAGGGTGTAAACCTGAAACATTGACTTTCCTACTCCTCCGATGCTGTGTTCCTCCAGCTCCACACTGTATTGACGCCGACTCCATCATCTACAGTTCATGCTATCTCCGAGTGAAAAGAAACAGATGCATTGCTTCAGAGTAACCACATCATTATTCAAATCCAAAACTGATCAGATTCAAACAAAAGCTTTTTGCTTAATAGTGACTTGATATCCAGTTTCATCAAACTGCATGGTACTTTCATAACTGGCTGTAGGAAATTCAGTCCCTCCAGCCTGCTCCAACATTCAATACAATTGTGGCTGATGGCATCTCGGCCTCAACACACTTTCCTGCCCGCTCCGCCTAACACTTTAACCCAATACTAATTAAAAGTCTGTCCATCTCCTCAGATTTATTCAGCATCCTTGTGTCTACCACATTCTGGAAGTGAATTGCACAGATTTATGACCTGCAGAAATAAATTCCTTATCATCTGTTTTGAAACTGCCAGCCCTTAGCCTCAAACTATGACTTGTTGTTCTAGATTTCCCCAGAAAGGGAAACATTCACTCTACATTTACTTCGCCAATCCTGTTTAGCATAATGCATACATCAATTAAATTTCCTTTCATTCTTCTAAACTCTAGCAAGTTCAGGCCTAAACTATTCAAAATATCAGTGTAAGACAAACCTTTCGTTCTCTGGAATTAATCTAGTGAACCTTTCCTGAACTGTATCCAGCGCAATTGCAGCCTTCCTCACATAAAGGGACCAAGACTGCATGCAGTACTCCAGATTTCTTCAAATATTCCTTCAAAATCTATAAAATTACCCAAAACCTTTGCTTACCTGGGGAATTGAGATGCAACCCTGCACGGTGCGCAACACGTTCTAACATGGAGATGAAATAAGATCCCATGCCCAGTTCAGCAATCTACTTTTTAGATTCAAAAGAAACCGGACAACAGAAGCATTACTGTGAGCCATTTTGAACCAAGTCAAGAGATGACGAAGGCCTTTACAGAATTACTGTTTAGAAGTTAAGGCTGTTCTAACTTTACACTCATGGTATCGGAGTATCACAGTGAGTGAGTCTTCTTTTAAGGTGGGAGGTTCCCTCCAACTCTTTCCTTCATTGCGGTTTAGCTCCACTGACATCTAGTTTCTCATCCTGAGTAATCACACAGCTTTAGTTTTGAGCCCTAATAGGAAATGCCAGAAGGTTATTCAACCTTGTATCAGTGACCACCAATAACCCCTCACAAATAAACCTTTTGGAAGTCAGCTGACCAATTCTGTCCTTCCTTGGCGAATGTTCTCAGGTCAACTACCATAACCAAGCATTCCACTGGCTAAGATAACAAGGTGTAGAGCTGGATGAACACAGCAGGCCAAGCAGCATCATAGGAGCAGGAATGCTGACGTTTTGGGCCTAACGTCAGCCTTCCTGCTCCTATGCTGCTGCTTGGCCTGCTGTGTTCATCCAGCTCTACACCTTGTTATCTCAGATTTTCCAGCATCTGCAGTTCCTACTATCTCTCATTCCACTGGCTACATCTGTATCACAGTCCTGATTAGTGATAGAAAGAAATGGCGTAAAATGTGTAAATACTCCAGATTGCATAGAAATGATAAGACTGTCATTACCTCACTGGAGGAAGACAAAAGATTAACATTTTTTCTCCTCTATTACCGATTAAACCACCTCAAAGTGTCATTTAGACAACAGCTGGGGAAAATGTAATTACTCTAGAGTAGTCATCAAGTCAAAAGGACTCACAGCTCCATGATTTCATTTAGCCCCCAGAAGGCTCCATCCTTGAGTTCGCAGATCCCATTACGCTGCAGTTTCAATGACTTCAATGAGTCGAGGCCGTGAAACGTTAGACTCTCGACAATTCTGATTCGGTTGCGTTTTAGCTCCCTGTTTAAGTATAAAACTCAAAGTAATCCCATGAGGTGATTAAAATTGTTAAAAGAACAAAAAAAAGTTAAAAAGGCCATCATACTGGCCAGTGATAAGAATGAATGTGTACTGCAACATACTTGTTTTTGAGAGAAATTTCTACATATTCTAATTGCAATATGGCTTCCACATCCTTTGAATATTTTGGAGTAGAAACAAGAAAAACAGACTAATTTTTAGCAACAAGGCATCACACCATACCAGTACAGGCACCTACCCCTCAGCCTTCCCCAAGGCTGGGCACGGACAATCGCCATATTCAGCGAATTAAATCCTACCTACATTTTCTCCACATAGGAGTTGTCTTCTTACACATAGCTGAACTGGGACAAAAAGGCCACTTGTGTCAAAATTTTTAAGTATATATAGGTTGTACTTACAGAGACAGGCCTGACATATGATGTCCATGCCAAAACAGTTCATATCGTGTTAGACTTTATGATGCTCAGCAATAACTTCAAGAGCATTACTAACGTAGATCTACCTGCGCTAATAAACTTTTCTCATACTATTATAATTCACGATGGGGAAGACAAAGTACTGTGGTTGCAATTAATATTTCACATCTGCAGGCATTGGAGCAATTTTCAATCTAGTTACCTTCAACCCGAGATAAGTAAATCTGTCAACCCAGTATTAATTATTCTAATTCCCTATTAAGTGCTCCAAATGTAATTTTTTTTATGCTTAAAAACACAAGGAGAGAATTTTTAATCTAGTCAGTAGTCCCAGAACAACAGGAGCAGATCCAGCACAAGACAACACTTCCTTCTTCACCTTTACACAGTTGTACAAATGACAGAAAGCAGCACTAAAAGTCCATTCATTAAATACCCTCCAATAGAATCTCAACTAAAATTTGAAATGCTAAGTGAAGCTTTTAAAAGTTACATGGTAAACTCCATGGCAAACTGGTGTAGATCCATCTTGTACTCAGACAAAGGAAAATATTGCAGCTGCTGAAAGTCTGAACCATAACTACAGAATACTGAAACGCTTGGCAGGTGAGGCAGTACCCGTACAGTGACAGAATTACTATCATCAGGACGATGTCCTCAAGTTAAAACATAATCGACCCAAAGAGTTAACTTGCACTCTCTCCACAAAGATGCTAGATGTCTTGCTAAACTCTTCAGTATTTTCAGTTTACATTACAATTGGTCCTGCTAGCCACTAATTCAACTTGCATTCAAGCAACTCAGAACAAACCTCAGGCTTCTGTCTTTTGATGATCCAGCCTCTATCCCCTTTAAAAGCTGTTACATAAGGAGCAATGTTTTTAATCAAAAAAAAACAATGAGATATGCATCTGGACTCTGAACTATTAAAGCAACAAAACCACTCACAGGTATTGAAGTTGAGGCAAGCGGAAGCTCTTTGGTTGAATGACAGTAATTTTATTCCTGTTCAGTTTCAGGACGAGCAAAGTGCTGGACAAATTATCAAAACAGCCCGGTTCTAGGATGGTAATTCGATTATTGTTCAAATGTCTGAAAGTAAGATGTATATTTGTGTTACTAAGAATATTTTTGGCAAGTCAAATACTCATTCTCTATTTCAAAATAGGAAACCTCCTACTGGGTTAAGTCTGCATCTGTAGACATAACATTTTACTTTTTGAACTGAACAACAGACAAAGTAGTCAATTTTCATTAAGAATTGGATCACTGGAACTAGTGCTGTCACGGGACAGGTATTTCATTACTTTCAGTTCCTGGTTAAGATGTTTTTTTTTCCCTTTTTAATTATATTCATCTGATGACTGAATGACATAGTCAAGCAACATAATGTGCTTTCACTGATGGACTATTGCGCCGAATCCAGCCTGAACTGACAGGAAAATGTCCACTCTCTCATTAGTAAATTCCATTTGTGAAATTAGTCGGGGACAGCATTAATCTTGCTTTTTGTCAGCTGCAGCTACTAATCCAGCAAAAATGAACAATCGCACTCGAGAGGCAGCCACAAGGATTACTGCAGCAGGAAATTAATATATAACAAGTGACACACAAGACTTAACCAGGGTTAAACCATCATATTTCACTCAGCAAATATATCGCACAAACTGGCACAATGTTCTACTGCTGCTTGTATTTACCTTAATAAGGGGAAAAAAAGAATCTACTTAAAGCACAGGCACTGCTGCCTTGACTCAGAACGCAGTGGTCTATTTGCCAGACATGCCGAATAAAAAAAATGACTGCTTCCTGCAGTGCATTGAACATCTTTTCCCATGTTTGCCAAGACTCAATGAAAAAGTCTGCAACCACTAGGGATGTTGCTTGGCACAACCACAAAAAAACAGCATTTCCTTTAATCAAAATCTCTAATTAAAATTGATGCTGCTATAAACAAACATCTCAATCTCAAACACAAGTGTAAAAGCTGTTCTATTGTACTGAACTTCGCTGGGTCTGGTCAAGGCATTGTAAATGTTCCCGAATGGATTTCACAATGCAAACATGTTTGTCTTCCTTTTTGAAATCGATAATAATGAATTTACAAAGCAGCAACTTGAGCATTCAAGTCCCATGTGCCACCTGCATCAAGGCTGCAATTCTCAATATTAAATGTTCAGACAGGTTTCAACATGTCTCATATTACACTTAACTCTAAGACAGCCACATGCCTGGCAAGCACAAAATTCCTTCACCATGCTCAAAGGCTTTAAAAAAATCAAGCTACTCAAATTCAAAACAGGGAGAGACTCCATCTGCGTACTATGGATGGTAAACATTTTCTGTAAAGAAACACACCACAATAACACAAAACTTGAAATTCCACATTCAGGTCAGCACAGCTAAGCATGTGTATGTGCGTGCAGAGGACGCTGCTGGAAACTTATCAGTTAAATTGACAAATTATTAACACAAGACTTACAGCTTTCAACTACTTGTCCAGAAAGGGCCACCAGGCCCACTTTTATCTGTGTTGGGTAGAAAGACTTCTAACTGCTGGTGATGAGTTTAGCCTCCAGAATCAATGTTATCTATTCAACTAACTAAGCACATGTTGTGAAGTCCTCAGGACTTGAATTTTACATCAGAATATTACACAGAAAAATCTATACTGTCAATCAGTATATCAAATAGTCTTGAGCTGGGTGTACTGTACAAAAACGATGCGTTGTAGAATATTCCCAGTCAGAAACTTCTGGAGATGAGTGGAGAACATTTAATGCCTAACCTATTAAGGACATTCATACATCAGAAAATACCACTAGAAAAGAAAACCCCAGTGCCTCAGAGCTCTTGCTGCAATTGCTATCTGTTGATTGGACAGACACATAATAGTATGTGCACCAGACTCCATGGAGCCCATCACAATGGGGTGAATTGAAGAAAATCCACAGGACAAAGCACAAAGTTTTACACTTCAGTTTATAACTGAAATGGCACTTGCATCCAATTCAACAAACGCTATTTAATTCACCTCTATGAATCAGGATTATTCTTCTGCCTTCAAGTCTATTAAATGTTTAAAAAGAAATCAACAACTACAAAATAATTAAAATTAATTCAAATATCCTTCTGTAATATTCAGCTCAAGTTATTCTCATTGGTGTTCACGTTATTCTGAATGTGTTGATGCTTATTTTAAAAAAGTATTGCTTCACAAAAATCCACTATCCTGGTAAGCACAACCTACAGATAAGGTTAATTCTGAAACATGTTTAAATTAATGGCTATAATGCTATGGGGTAAGCAAAGATTAAAATGAATTATATTAGAAAGAAAAGCAAACATAAGGCAAAATAAATTGATTTTGACATTTAAGATGTTTGACATAGGATCACAGTAATAATTATTTGCAGATTGATTAGCAGGGCACTGGCGTACAGAACAAACACTGGCTGTATTGCAAATTCCACATAACTTTTACTGCAACGTTAGGATTTAAATTCTGAAATGCTGAACAGATTTTGGATGAGAATCCTGAAATGCCTACAAGCTGATATTCTAAGAATTAGATTCAAAATCAACAAGTTGAATGCTGTACAATGAAGATGTTTATTGTTACCATAGGGAATGTTTAAAAAAATGTCATGATGGCAGAATTTCCTCTAAAATGGAATGCATAAATGGTACAAACTCTCTCCAGAATTCCATATCTTTTCCCATATTGCTCTGCAACAAAATACTGATGTAGTTACAACATGGGAATCAATATAGGAGCTGAATTATCAGCCAGCCAATGCCCTTTTCCCACAAAATACATGAATCAATTTTGTTTTTTTAAAACACACTCTACACACTTGTGTCTCTGAACAGATAAACAACATAAATTTCAAAGTTTCAATTGACGCAATACTGATTAATGAAGCAATATCCCTAATAAATGGCAAAGTTTTGCTGCAGAATACAAAGCAGTCCCATGTGGACACTATATTCTGGTTCACTGCTAGCAACTCTCTTCCTCAGTTTATAACCTATCGCCCATGTTGCCATGCTCTACCTTCCTGTGTTTCCTAAACTGAACTGTTCAAACTCATCACACTCAAAGCTGTGGAGCACCAACATGAACAAAAGCAGCGTAGACCTCTGCTACTCACAGGTTTTTCAATTGCATTATAGGGAACGAAGAGGTTTTGATTTCTGAAATTAAATTTGAGCTCAGATCCAAGGTCTCCAAAGCACTGTATGGCAGAAGGTCCTCAGCAATTATCTCAGTTACCCGATTGTGTGTTCTGCAAAAGTAAAGATAGTACCAGAAAAGTCACTTCAACTTTCTTACTAACTATTCTGCTATACCACAAATAATCACAAGCATTCTTCCAAAAATAAACCTTATAAACATTATTGCCTGGATTTTCACTATTTTTTCTCCACAGTGAGATTAGAAAACCTACCATTGAAAACCTGAAGAAAGGTGGTGTTTGGCATTTGACATCATTTTTAAAGCAACTGTATAACTTGAATGCACTAAAATCCTTTGGATAACAGTCGCAACTCCAAAAATATATTTAGAAGAACATTTTACAAATGCAATTATAGTATGTAAAATAGGTCAACCAAAGAAAAAATGTTTCCCTCCGCAGATGCTGCCAGACCTACTGAGCTTTTACAGCAGCTTCTCTTTTTTCCGCTCCCCTCAGAATCTCATATGTTTTAATAAGATCATCCTTTATTCCTTAGAGTTTAGAGAAATGAAGGCTTAACTTATTTAGTCATTCTTGATATTGTTGCCAAGTTGGGTAGGGTACTTGTAGATTGGGAAGTGGCAAGTTGGAATTTGGTGTTTGTAAAATGTAGGGGGGTGAAGCATTGCGTGGTCACTTTAAAAGATCATGTGCTTTTTCTGCGCTTAGAGATTTAAAACGGATGCCTGTGAGCAGCAGCTTGAAAGTTTGCAAGTACACAGAGAGCGCCTGAATTGAAACATGTGTCGAAAGGCCGTACAGTTAGAAGGCCAAGCAGCAGTTTCTACCAAGACAACAAGCTTTTAAATTTAGTCAATTTGAATCAGGCACTTAGACATCAATAACCAACTAAACTTAAATCTGATGGTTTTGACAACAAAGGACCAATCCTATTGTAAGAAATTGATATGTCATCAAGGGTATAAAAGAAGGGGGCAGTTGGACAAAACTAACTTCCATCCACCAGAGCTAACAACTCTCAGCTCTCAAAAGAGAATCACTGACTCTCACAGCCTCCTCTATGTCTTAGAGAAAGCACCATCGAAATAACAAAGATACCCACGGCACAACTAGTTAATATTCCCGACAGAAGAATCGACAGAGAAGGCACAGAACATTCCGGAAGACACATAAGTGGCTGATATTTTGAGGGATTGAATTTTTTTAAAAAATATAAGTGGGACTTGTACTAATTAGAACAGCATACCATTAGAATCTTGCTGTATTCAGGAATAGTTAGTTAGAAGGGATGTTTTTGGTTTGTTAATAGTTTAGATAATTTGTTCACTGTTAGAGTTAGATAAATAAATTGTTACTTGTTGATTTTAAAGTGTCAGGGATTTATTTTATTTAACCACTAAAGTTGCTGAAAAGCAGATTACGCCACTTTTCACACTCCTTTTACAGATTAGAGGGTGAGTTGCTCCTCTTTGGGTGTTCCAATTTTAGTTCTCGGGGCGGGGGTCAACCTCTGCTTTATAACAATATAACAGTCAAATCCTTCAGCCCAGGAATCAGGCTAACAAATCTCTTTTGAACTGTCTCCAATGCCAGTATAATAAAACAAATACCCATCAATCTTGAAACGTTAACAACTTTTCTCTCTACAGATGCAGCCAAACCCACGGAGTTTCCCCTGCACTTTGTTTTCATCTCCGTAGCTAATATATCCTTTTTTAAATTCAGGGGCCAAAACTATACATCATTCTACAGATGTGGACACACCAACACCTTGTACAGTTATAAGAAGACTTCCCTATTTTTAAACTGCAATCCCCTAGCACCAGGACTAGAATTTAATTCTGGAATATTTTAATCAGTGCCTCCAACAAAGGTTTAGATTTATTTTTAAAATTCATTCATGGGACATGGACATTACTGGCTGATCAGCATTTATTTCCTGTTCCTAACTGCCTTCTAGATGGTGGCAGTGAGTTGCCTTTTGGAAGCACTGCAGTCCACGTATTGTAGGTTGACTCACAATGCCCTTGAGGGAATTCCAGGATTTTGACCAAATGGCAATGAAGGGACAGCAGTACATTTCCAAGTCAGGCTGATGAGCGGCTTGGAAGGGGAACTTGCAGGTGGTGATGTTCCCATGTATCGTCTGCCTTCCTTCTTCTAGATGGAAGTGGTGTGGGTTTGGAAAGGTTTGATAGGTGCTAAGGATCTTGGTTGAATTTCCGCAGGGCATCTTTTAGATAGTACACACTACTGCTACTGAGTGTCGGTGAAGGAGGGAGTGGATGTTTGTGGATGTGGTGCCAATCAAGGGGGCTGCTCTGTCCTGGAAGGTGTCAAGATGCTGGAGTGTTGTTGGAGCTGCACTCACTCAGTGTTTGTACAGGATACTGCGATTAAAAAAAAAAGAGTAAATCTCTCTTTTGACTGTTCATAAGATAAGTGCAAATTTTTCTTTAGATTTTTTATTATTTTGTGTAATAAACTTATGTTCTTTTGTTAAAATTGAACATTGCCATTTTAACATTCAATCTCGCAAACATGTACAGTTACTGACCACTATGGTAACTAAATTTAAAAATCTTATGGTCTATCAAGCCAGTTTTCACTTTGGGATCTTAAATAAATTAAGAACAGCTGCAATCATAACACTTAGCATCACAGGAAGGCACAAAAAATCATTGATTTTCAAAACTGCCTAATTAAAATGCACAATGCCAAGGGAACTGTAGAGTTTACGATGTATTAAACTGGCTCTCGCATCAAGATCATCTTAACACCAGCACAAACTAACAGGCAAACTCACAACCTGGGTTTTATCCGATGTGAACTGAAATTGCAAATTAGCACTAATTTAGCAGTATTTTTGCTACCCAGAGAAAAGAGATCACATTACGGCTGTTATGGTAAAATATGCTCAGGGTTAGGGCTGCTGAGGCTTATAGATGAGCCTGTAATAGAACGAGGTAGGTTCTTCACATACTTGTTCCATAACTGACTTGGGAATGCTAGTGACCAAAAGACATAAGAACCATTCCATTTTTAAGTGCCAACATTCATCACCTTAAAGCAGTCATAAACAATTGCAAAGCACAAGTGGTGAAGTTAAAAGTGTTTTAGCTATTTATTACCAAATGGCAATATGGGATTTTTACAACAGTTACAATTTCATTCGAAAATAGCGACTGGAGATTTTCCCCGCAACATTTAAAATATTGTGATCCCACAACAACTATGGTAAGCTCTCCCCAAAGTGGCAAAATGTGTCACAACATATTCCCTTAAGAATAACAAACACAATGCAGGTTTCAGAATTAAGCCTAACATTTTACTTACAGTGACAGGGCGGTAACGTTGGCTGCTACTGCCCCCAGTGTTGGGATTGTAGAGAGTAGATTATAGTTGATATTCCTTGAAGAGCACAAATGATTAAATCAGTTGGAAAACTTCTGACATATAATGTTCAATTCTTTGAAGTAATTGACAGAATTTATTTCTTGAGAGACTACTTACACTTCCAGAAGTGTGTGAAGACCCTCGAATACAGGGTCTTTTGTGGAAACCAATCGATTATGACTCAAATCTCTGCAATAAGAAAGAATTCTAAAATCAATGCTGAAGTCTCATAAGATTTTCCCAGTCTTTAACAAGGAGAGGAGAATTAAACACTGGTCTTAATGCAGAATAACTCTATATTGCTCTTATCCTAATTCCTGTCCGTGCTGACGTACATCTGCTCACCACAGTTCTATAAGTCATATTTGTATCCCTTCATGGTTTTGTCCTCCCAATCTCAAACCTGCTCCTCTGCTACCAACCCTTTATTCTCCCTAAAACACACTGCCTATCACTTTTCACTTCAAGACTATGCTTAAAATTCACCTCTTTCATCATAGATTTGGTCATATGCCCCTTTTTTTTGGATTACACTCCTATGAAGCACTTTGGGATATATCATTTCATTAACAGCTTATGCAAACACAAATTCTTATTCTATATGATAAAAGAGCCAGAATTTCTAAAGTCAGTGCATGCACACTAAAAAAAAAAGTGAAGTAGCCACCAACATAATCTTCACCAGAATGAAAAGAAAACTAAAGCATTAAAAAAGTTAATCATCCCAATAACACATCAAGTTCCCCAATTTTGTTATAGGAATGTGCCCTTTGCCAACAGTAATCATCCTACAATAATCTTTCTATAACAGAGCATTGTTTTAGGAGAGGCAAAGACCATAAAATGTATACTAGAACACTTTTGAACAAAGCCACAAACACTCAAAACGAGAGTCCAAAACTAAAACAAAATTATACATTATTGTCTAAATGTAGTGGGAAAATTGAAATTTCAATATGGAGTCTTATTTTTCATAAAATCACTCAACCAGTAGTATTCATTTTCTACTTCCATAATTCCAGCACATGGAACCCATGTCATGATGTTTTTGCACAGATCACCAGGACCACTCAAATTCATGCACAGGTGCACTCTTTGCAAATTGTTAGTATATCAGAGCATATCATTCTCTGTAAAGTGAAGTGACCATTGTTGGCAAATTGTTAAAATAAGCTATCCATCAGCAATTGCTAAATGCCTTGTTCATTTACTGAAAGGTTAGATGTATTGAAGACTCCACAAGTCTGCATTCTTTGCCTGTACTTCTTACTGGAGAGAGGACAGCCGGCTCCTGGTGCTGACACCTCGACTGTAATATTCAAGTTCAAGTCTATCATAATCTTAACAGGACTGTAAAGCAAGATGGATAACTGAGCCAATGCAGTATGAGATCACCACAGTCTGCTGCTCACAGTCACAATCTGCACACAGCTGTTGACAGACTGAACATGTATGAACAATGTCGCTATTAAAACATAGTCTGGAGTTTGCCCACAGTCTCCGTTCATGGTTCACTTAAGAAAACGCTCATCTGTACAACACCGATATCACTCAACACTTTGATGGAAACAGAAGGGTCATTAAATCTGGATTTTTTCACTTTTATTGACCATTTCAGCACTGTCTACTGTGAAAGCTCAGCCTCTCCCAAAAGGTCCAAGATGCTCAAACTGAGTTTGGTTTTCTCTCTATTTCATGCTTGTATCTTTAATTAACTATACTTGACCTAGAGGAGATTGCGTGGCGGGAGTCCTTCTTGTATATGACATTGGTCCTGCACTGGTGATATACAAGATTCTCTGCAGAGACTGTGACAAACACTACATCGGACAAACAGGAAAGAAATTAACAACAAGGGTACACAAACATCAACTGGCTACAAAAAAAACAGGACCAATACTCACTCATCTCTATCCACACGGATAAGGAGAACCACCAATTCGATTGGGATAACACCAAGATCCTTCGACAAGCAAAGCAGAGACAAGCACGGGAATTCCTAGAAGCCTGGTACTTCACGAAGAAAGCCATGAACAAACACAGAACCCGACCCCATATACACTCCACTGCGAAGGAAAACCAGAAGTGAGGTAATCCAGCTCAACGGACTCCAGCGTTTAAATAACAGGGGGCAAAACACAACGGCGCTTCATCGGAGGCTGCACTGATGTTGTTACCCAGCAGGGTAACAAAATATCTGTGAAACAACGAACCAGCTCGGCGAGCCAACCAACTACAACATCCACAACTGAGCTACAAATCTACTGTAAAACCTTAGATTTCTGTGAGAGCCAGTGAGTTTCTCGGTCACACCGATTTTCAAACAACCTCCTCTTTTATACCCTTGATGACCTATTAATTTCTTACAATAAGATTGGTACTAGGTTGTCAAAGCCATCAGATTTAAATTTAATTGGGTTTTGGTATCTACGGCCTGGTTTAAATTAATTGGCTAATTTCAAAAATCTGTTATCTTGGTAAAACTGCTGCTTTGCCTGTTAACAGTACTGCCTTTTGATACAATGTTTCAATTTCAAATACTCTGTGCATCTGCTGCTGCCTACAGACCTTTTTTTAAAATTTCCAAGCCTAAAAAAACATCATCTTTTAAAGGGACCACACACTCTTCCTCCCTGTCATTTTACAAAAATCAAACACTCTACCCAATTTTGCAAAGTGGCAAAAGGACTTAGACAGGCTAGGGCAGTGGGTAAACAATGCAGGCAAGCATGACGTTATACACTTGGACAGTAAGCATACAGGTGTAGACTATTTTCTAATCGGAGAAAGTCTATGGAAATCTGAAGCATAAAGAATCAAGCGAATCCTGAACTATGACTCCTAAGATTAACATGCAGGTTCAATTAGGAAAGTAAATGCAATGTTAGCATTCATTTCAAGAGAGCTAGAATTCAACAACAGAGATAAGCTGTATAAGGCTCTGGAAAATTGAGAGCAGTTTTGAGGCCCATATCTAAGGAAAGATGTGCTGGTCTAGAGGGGTTCCAGAGGAGGTATACAAGACTGATCCCAGGAATGAAGGGCTCGTTGTATGAGCAGTGGTTGAGGACTTTGAGTCTGTACTCAATAGAGTTTAGAAGGATGAGGGGGATTTTCATTTGATTTGATTTTACATGTACTCAAGTACAAGAGTACAGTGAAAAGTGTACAACGCTGCCACACAAGGTGCCACCTTAGGTACAAGTACCTAGTTAATGAGTCTTAAGAACAAGGTAGAAAGAAAGAACAAAGTTAAAAGCTAAACATTGCAGTAATTATAGTATAGCGTAAAAGATACGAATTAAGGTTAAAAGTTACACATTGCAGACCTTTTTGTTTTAAGTAGAAAATAAAGAAATAAAGCTGAAATTTCAAACATTACAGTCTTGCTTAAGTGCTTTGCAATAGTGGGACAGATCTTTGAGGAATCACCTTGAAAGTCCACGCTGGGCTGAGAGACCACCACATATCGCTGAAAGGTCACCATGCCGGGCTGAGAGACTGCCACACCGGGCCGAAAGTTAAAACTTACAGAATACAGAGAGGCCTGGACAGACTGGACATGGAGAAGATGTTTCCACTAGGAGAGATCAGGACCCGAAGGCACAGCCTCAGAGTGAAGGGAAGACCATTTAGAACAGAGATGAGGAGAAATTTCTTCAGCCACAGGGTGGTGAATCTCACTGCTACAGAGGGCTGTGGAGGCCAAGACATGAGTGTCTTTAAGTGGGATGTAGAAAGGTTCTCAATTAGTAAGAGAATCAAGGATTATGGGGAGAAGGCAAGAGAACGGAGTTAAGAAACCTATCAGACATGATTGAATGGTGGAGCAGACTCAGTGGGCTGAATGGCCTAATTCTGCTCCTGTGTGTTATGGTCTAAAAATAGATGTGCCTCTGAAATACCCTAAAAGCCAAATTAGTTTAATAGCAAGTAAGGATGGCCCACAAATGCTGGTCTTGCCAGTTATACCCACATCCCATACTAGAATAAAGAAAAAACCTCTGATAGTGCAGCACTTCTGCCATACTGCACTGAAGCCTATATAATGTATGTTCCTTTTTGCGGCTTGAGCAAGCAACCTTCTGACTCTGATGTGAGAGCTACAGCTGAGCCTCGGCTGTATTCTTGTAACATAACATGCTTTGACCAATGGCTGAAAAACTGATAGAAAGCCCTTAAAGCCTCCAGGATTTTCACGCTTGAACTCTTAAATGAAACTTTATACGACATATTATGTTACAATATAAGGAATTAATTCTTCCAAAGAATCAGATCACTGTTCACAATAAACTACTGAAAAAAATGTTTCCATGGTAATCCAGTGAGTCAAGCCTCCACTTCAATTTTTGATATCACATTATTTCACAATCTGTAGGTCCAGTCATGACTTATGGCTTGATGCCTATGTAGCATGAGGATTTGCTCAGCTGCTAGAACCACTGACAAATACAAGTCATTGATGACAGTTTAAGCTCCTTTATTGAACAGAGATAAAATGAATAGTTTCACACTTATAACTAATGCTACAGAACCTAATGCATAAGTCTAAATTTAAACAAAACATATTTAAAAAATGCTCGTCATAACAGCAACAGGAGCAGAACACTTCTTGATTAACTCATTTTAAAAAGTAGATTCAAAACATGCACAAACTGATTCATAATGTTCAAATATGACATAATGGTTTAAAAGGGGCTCGAGGTTGAGGAATTGCGCTTCCTAACCATTACTGCAAGCTGGGGTTTAACAGCAGACATGAGTGTAATTTCTTTATTACCTTCAGCAATCAAGAATTCTTTACACCGGAGATTAAACAGGTTAGACAAGGTCAGTGATCCAGCAAGAACATTCTTTAGAGCAGTACTAATGGCCTACAAAATCCTTCCCAGCTTTTGCATTCTCATGTTTTCTTATATTCTACAGTATAAATGGAACACACACAGGAAATGTAACATAACTACTGACACACACAAATAAATCAGAGACTTAATCAGATTTGAGCACATCAGGGAGGGACTGCAAACTAGCCCCAGATTTTAATAATGGCGATATTCTAAACATACATGCCAACTCTTGCATCCTTAAACTTACCATGGAACAGAAACAAGTATATTAGATAATTATTTGAGTGGTTATAATAAGTGAATAGAAGAATGCTTTGAATTCAAAATAAGTGGCTGCTGAAC